TTGGTGTCGGTCAGCGCCGGTTTCTTCTTCAGGTGCAAGTTCTTCAGCCTGACGGAGACCCCCGAGGACTACACCATCATGCTGGACGAGGAGGGCTTCAAAGGTACCGTGCGGTGGCTGCCACGGCCACCCCGCCCCTCGCAGGGTGGGCTGGCACCACAGACACGAGTCGTGCACGTTCTCCGCCCACCCGAGCGCAGTGACGCTCCGGGCCTGGGCCGCAGGGAGCGAGTCCCGGCTTGTAGCGAGGCTCCTTCGGTACGTGCCCATCCCCGGGGCTCCCGGCCGCGGAGCTCCCATCCCCTCGGCGCCTGCGCTGGGGATGTACCAGCTTGCCCGGCCGAGGCTCTCCTGGCGTGGCTGCCTTTGCCCTAATAAACCCCTTCCAGGCAGAGCTGCGTCTCTGCCGGCTCGTTGGGACCGGGCTGTGAACCGGTCAGGATGGTCTGCAGGGAGCCCGGTGCCAGCCAAAGCCCTGGCTGCTCCGGGCGAGGGGCAGGTACCTCCCGGGATGCCCACGGGCAGCACGCCGGGCTCCCTGCCTGCACAGGGTGCTGCTGTCAGACCTCCTGCCATCATTCTCTTGACCGATTTCATCTCTTCCCCCTGCCTGGTGAGGGCCAGGGCCGGCCGGCGCTTCAGCAGAGCAGGGCCGCTTCTGTGCCCGCCCGGGCTGGCAGGGGTGAGCCCTGCCTGGGGGTGCTGCCTGGCAGCAAGGACCAGGTTTTGGGATGTCGGGCGGTGGGGGGGGGGGGGTGAGCCCTTCCAGGCTGGTTCCCCTTCTTGGGAAGTGTCATTCGGTGGCATCCCCGCCGCTGGTGACCCAGCGTGTGCCGTGCATCAGCCTCACCGCCGATCCTGCTGGGGGTACTGGCCCAACAGGCTGTGCCGGAGGGGCCGGATCCTGTCCTGGCTTCCCACGCCCAAACCTTCCTGCCGAGGCCGCAGGAGCCAGCCGCAGCTTGTCACCTTGGATGTGCCCCAAGGACCAAGGGTCAGCGCTCCAGCCATGGGGTGCTCGCCGGCTGGATCCAGCTCCCACCTCCCTCCCCGGCCCTTTGCTCGGGGAAGGGGCTGCGGGGCTGGGCTCTCCCCCCCAGAGCCAGAGCCGTTCCCCACGTATTGTTTTATTTCGGGGCCTGCGGACAAATATTCCTCAATCCCGAGGGGAGGGCGGGAAGTGCCGAACAATGGTCCTGCGAGCTGGCGGCCCCACTGCGCCGTTGTGTACCCCCCTGGGGCTGAGGGGCTGCCAGCGTCCCCCTGCTGTGGGGCTGGGGAGGGGACCCCCGGCAGAGGAGAGCTGCACCCCCTCTCTTCCTTTGGGGATCCGTACTCAGCCCTGGGGAGGGTGGCACGGGGGCAGCGGGGGCCTTTCCGCAGGCTCACGGCCTCTCCCAGGGTGGTGTTGAAAAGCAATTAAGCGACAAGCGCTGGGACGGGTCCCCATGTCCCTGTGTGTGTGTGTGTCCCCCCCCGGCCCCAGTACTCGGCCCTGGGCCGGAGCCGAGGCCGTTCTGGCGCTTCCTGCGCAGGAACAGGCGCTGGAAACACCCGCCGAGGCCCCTGGATCCGGCCCCCCTCCCGCCCTGCCCCGAGCCACGGTTCAGGAGTGGGGTGCGGAGTCCGTCCCGTGATGGGGTCCCCCCCAGGGGTACCGGACCCCTCCCTGGGGCGACCTCCCCTCTGCCACTGGTGTGATGAGTTTGCCTTCTCAGCTGGGCTGGGATACCGGGTGCCCACCGGCT